TCCTCATGTGTTGAGATTTCATCAAGAATGGTCTAATGGCAAGTGGATATTTCTACCAAGACAAGGAAAGATTTTCAACTTGTACTAATCTTGATTTCAACAAGTTCTTGATTTACTGTAATTTGATATGAATGCGACTTGTTAATCATTCTCTTTATACCAATTCATCAAGTTTAGTCGCAAATTGTTATATTGATGATTAAGACTTTGATATACTGTATAGTGAGAAACGAGAATATATGAATTTGTTACTCTGTTTTAGAGTTGAATTATGCTGTATAATAATATGCATTACGTTTATGTCAGTTTTAGTTAAGACTACGTTTCAACAACCCTTTTAGGCTTCAAATTGACGATATCCATAGGCTGAATGTTGAATTGGCAAAAATAAAGTCGAGACAATCATTCTGGGCTATATTTGATACATTAGAAAGTGTTAAAGACAGCCGTGAGACATCTTAGACCTGCAAACAGATCCAAAGTTCTCAAACTTCCTAAATACGCAGATGAAGAAAACAGGAAACCGTTTTTTCTTTCTGTGCTTGTTCAAGAGGAAAACAAAAAGAATGGGAGTCTGTCAGACAGCCATGGGACCATCCTAGGCCTGAGATCAGGGTCTAAGAACGATCATCTACTACAACCACAGCTCGACGAGCAATGGTTGACTGTTAATCACGCTCTGGTCACATGGCCATGCTTCATCAACCAGACTTGGTTTCCTGTCTCCTTAGAAATCAAGGATACAGTGGTACGAGCCTATAGAACAGATCCTGTTCAAGTAAGGTCGTGACATATGCTCACGGTATGAAGCCTCATAAAGCTGGAGCTTATGTATTGCACTACCGATGTGGGAACAATATGTTGGCCCCCAACGCAGCTTTGCTGACTATTATGCAATCTCTAAGGCTCAAATGCAATAAAATTTGTGTCAGATTTCAGTTTTAGCTTCGTTATAGAAAAAATAATAATTATGCACTACTTTATTTTAAGGTGTAGACAATTATTTTCGTAGAAATTATTCCAATTCTGATAGAAACCCCTCAATCCCCATTACTCCCCAACACAATTAGGAAAGTAGTCATGCGTAGTCTAAGAGTTTTACAAAGTTTGGAAGCCACTTGCCTTAAAACGAACTCCAAAAGTTAGTTTCTTGACGCCTTATCGGATACCGGGTCAAGGAGACCTCGAATTCAAATTCCGACGATTTCATTGAGTCCGAAATGTCTTTACTGAATAAAAACAACAAAAAACACAAAGAGAGACGCAAGTATTTCGTATCTCGAAGAACAATAGAAAATACAAAGAGAGACAAGCATCTCGTATCTCTTAGAACAACCTTTTTTGCATATAAAAGATATATTATCCCCTATCTACTTATTACTAGATCTCCTATTATATAATAGATAATAACTATTTAGGATAAGGATAGATAACTTCTAGTAACCATAAGGAACTTCCAAATAACTCCTAATAACCGTAAGTAACTGCTCAACGCTCCATGGGTTAAACCTTCAAAAATTACAGAAGATGCAAATCATTATCTTCTCTTATCTTTCTTCGCTTCTTCCTCCTTGAATAAGTACGGTACGTGCCTTGTCAAATTCTCAGTGGAAAAAGTTCCATCACAGTGTTTCCTCTTGTGCCATATTTCAATTCCATAATAAATTAGGAAAGAAAAAAAGAAGATATAAACCAATCAAAAATATAAAAATTGGAAATTCCTATACCGAGTCATTAAAGGAAAACCAAAAAATAAACAGGAAAACAATTCCCATTCCTAATTAGCGAGGAAACAAGAATTATCTCCCTATAAATTCACTTGAAAAGCCTCATAGTTTCTCATTCAATTCGATTCAATTCAATCTTCAGTAGAGTCTGCAATAATGGCCCCAATTAAAGTGACAGAAATTAATTCAGAGGAACGCCACACAATGCTCTCAGAGTTTATAAAATCAGTAGCTTTCAATAGACAACAGATAACAAAAGTATTCCAGAAGGGCGATGAAGTTGAAGTGGCAAGTCAAGTATACGGCTTCATAGGTTCTTACTACGATGCAACTATTCTTTCTCCTGTCGGCGCTTATCATTACAGAATCAAGTACAAGACTCTGTTGACTGATGATGAATCCGCGCCACTGGAAGAGATGGTCAGTGCAGCAGTGATCCGCCCTGTTCCCCCTCATCAAGATGAAACAATGTCAGAAAACGGATTCCTCCTGTACGATATTGTTGATGTGTTTGCTAACGATGGATGGTGGTTTGGATTTATCAGTGGGAAAATTGGAGAAGAGTACTATGTCTATTTCCCTACAACTGCGGATAACATTGCATATCCTCATCATGTGTTGAGATTTCATCAAGAATGGGTTAATGGCAAGTGGAAATATCTTCCCAAAACAAGGAATTAGGAAAGCCGCCCTTTCTTTCTGGGCTTGTCAAAGAGGAAATCGGAAATAAAAAAGAAGAGGAGTCTGTCAGACAGCCATGGGACCATCCTAGGCCTGAGGATCAGGTCTAAGAACGATCATCTACTGCAACCACAGCTCGAGGAGCCATGGTAGGCTGTTAGTCACGCTCTGGTCACATGGCCATATACTTCATCAACCAAACTTGGTTTCCTGTCTCCTTAGAAGTCAAGGATTCAATGGTACGAGCCTATAGAACAGATCCTGTTCAAGTAAGGTCGTGTCATATGTTCCTGGTATGAAGCCTCATAAAGCTGGAGCTTATGTGTTGCACTACCGATGTGGGAACAATATGTTGGCCCCCGACGCAGCTTCGCTGACTATTATGCAATCTCTAAAGCTCAAATGCAATAGAATTTGTGTCAGATTTCAGTTTTAGATTCGCTATAGAAAAAATAATAATTATCCACTAATTTATTTTAAGGTGTAGACAATTATTTTCGTAGAAATTATTCCAATTCTGATAGAAACTGAGGTTTTATATAGGATAAAAACAACACAAAATACAAAGAGAGACACAAGTATCTCGTATCTCGAAGAACAATAGTAAATACAAAGAGAGACAAGTATCTCGTATCTCTTAAAACAACTTTTTCTGCATATAAAATATATATTACCCCCTGTCTACTTGTGAAAAATTTTAAGATGGTAGAGGAACAACCAACAATAGTTATGTGAGGTTCCACTCAATTTTTGATATTTGAATTTGTGGATCTATTTGTACAAATGGACCCATAAATCCAAGTGTCAAAAATTGAATGGAGCCTCACACAACTATTGTTGGGTGTGTGTGGCTCCATTCAATAGTTGTCTGTACTCTTTTATCTCCATTTATACATTTTTACCTTCCACTCACCACCCCGAGTGTTCTCCTCATCCGTGCCCCTATTCTTTTTTCCTTTTCTTTACTTTTGTCTTTTTCATTTTTTTTTTCATAAAATGCAGTTCTTTAAAAATGGAAATGTGAAAGATGATAAAAATATATTCTTTCTTTTGGTAATTGGAAAAAAGTTAAAACTAAAAGACAATAAATGATATATTAAAGCATGCACTTATATACAAAGAAAATAAATGAGGTCGATACGGTATAATAGAAGTTAATTTATTTTATTTGACTAATTTTTATTCACAAAATTTCTAAGAATATTTAATCGTAACTAAATATTAATGAAAATACTAGAATTAGATATGATTGATTCAGCTTAAGTAGTTTGTAGATTTACGTACTTAAAAATACTTTTTAAGTGCTTAAGTTGAATTTAGAAATAAAAAGATAAAAATATTGAAGCAAAGATAATGTATTTTATTAAAAAGAATATTGATAAATAACTTATTTGTTGGAATAACTAAAATGTCTTTAAAATTGTTAATATTAAAAAATAAACTTATTATCCAATATTTTTAATATTATCAAACAAACACAAAACACAAATAATAGTATTAAATTAAGTCAAAACTCAAATTAATTGTGTTTCATTCACTTTAGAATATAAATTAATTAGATGCAAATATTTTTAATAAATATGAACAATTTATCTAAATAGCATGCAATAATTAGCAATTTGACTAAAAAATAAATTTCTCCATAACTACTTATTCAAAAATAACAAGCAAACTCATAAATAAAAATAAGAAAAAAAAGGACCTTTTTTCCTTTCTGTTTCGATTTTATTTTGTAAGACAAATCTAAAATATGGCATTTGGCCTTTTCAGTTAAAAAATAAATAAATTGTAAGACAAATCTGTAAAATAAAATGAAGTATTTGTACCATGAATTCAATCTAAAATTGTTTTTTTTTAATTGTATTTGGAAGTTTTTTTATTTATTTATTAGATAGAAAAATGAAAAAGAAAAAAAAAATGAAAAAAGAAGAGGGTGGGTTCCAGGTGGGTGGATAAGGAAACTGGGTGATAGGAGGTAAAAGAGTACAAATGGACCCACAAATCCAAATGTCAAAAATTGAGTGGAACCTCACACAACTACTGTTGGTTGTGCCTCTACCATCTTAAAATTTTTCGTCTACTTATTACCAGATCTCCTATTATATAATAGATAACTAAAACTACTTCATAACTATTTAGGATAAGGACGGATAACTTCTACTAACCATAAGGAACTTCCAAATAACTCCTAATAACCGTAAGTAACTGCTCAACGGTCCATGGGTTAAATCTTCAGAAATTACAGAAGATGCAAATCATTATCTTCTCTGATCTTTCTTCGCTTCTTCATCCTTGAATAAGTACGGTACGTGCCTCGTCAAATTCTCAATGGGAAAAGTTCCATCACAGTGTTTCCTCTTGTGCCATATTTCAAGTCCATAATAAATTAGGAAAGAAAAAAAAAGATATAAACCAATCAAAAATATAAAAATTGGAAATTCCTATTCCGAGTCATTAAAGGAAAACCAAAAGTAAAAGGAAAACAGTTCCCATTCCTAATTACCGAAGGAAACAAGAACTATCTCCCTATAAATTCACTTCCAAAGCCTCATAGTTTCTCATTCAATTCAATCTTCAGTAGAGTCTGCAATAATGGCCCCAATCAAAGTGACAGAAATTAATTCAGAGGAACGCCACACAATGCTCTCAGAGTTTATAAAATTAATAGCATTCAAGAGACAACAGATAACAAAAGTATTCCAAAAGGGCGATGAAGTTGAAGTGGCAAGTCAAGTATATGGCTTCATAGGTTCTTACTACGATGAAACTATTCTTTCTCCCGTTGGCGCTTATCATTACAGAATCAAGTACAAGACTCTGTTGACTGATGATGAATCCGCGCCACTGGAAGAGATGGTCACTGCAGCAGTGATCCGCCCTGTTCCTCCTCATCAAGATGAAACAATTTCAGAAAATGGATTCCGCCTGCACGATATGGTTGATGTGTTTGCTAACGATGGATGGTGGTTTGGATTTATCAGTGGGAAAATTGGAGAAGAGTACTATGTCTATTTCCCTACAACTGCGGATAACATTGCATATCCTCGTCATGTGTTGAGATTTCATCAAGAATGGGTTAATGGCAAGTGGAAATATCTTCCCAAAATAAGGAATTAGGAAAGATTAATTTTTTTTTTACCTATTTTTAATTGATTTAGGAATGTGACTTATTAATCTAAGTTTAGTTGCAAATTGTAATAAATGCTGATAAAATATTTTGATTTTCTAATGGTTGCAACCATTTGAGTTTTCTCTCTTTCTTTTCTTATGATCTGTTTTTGACACTTTCCTTACTTATTTGATCAAAACATATAGTTATACTGTTTGCAAAACATCTAGATTTAAGGTGAAGATCATCAATTTCTTAGAAACCATCCCAATTCCCACTCAAAGGCGAAGTCAAAATTTTAATCTTACATATTCTGAATTTTGTAACGATAATTTCAAGTGTTAATAACTAAGTTCTAAACTTAATATTTTTACATATTTAATATCTTCTAAATACAAATACACAATTCAAGTAAAAAGTTACTGGGTTTGACCGAACCCGTACCAAGGCTTCTAGCTCCTCCCCTGATTCCCAGTAGGAAGGTTCAAGTACCTAATAAATTAGGAAAGTAAGAAAACATTAACAAATTAAAAATATAAAATTGGAAATACCTATTCCGAGTCATTCCAGAAAAAAACAAAAGAAATCTCTGCCTATAAATTTAGTAGCAAAGCCTCATAGTTGCTCACTTTTTTCATTCAATTGAATCAATCAATCAATCTCCAGTAGAGTCCGTGAAATGGCCTCAATCAACGTGACAGAAATGAATTCAGTGCAACTCCATCAATCAAGAATAGCGATGCTCTCAGAGTCAATCAAATCAATTGCATTCAAGAAACAACAGATAACGAAAGAATTCAAAAAGGGTGATGAAGTTGAAGTGGCAAGTCAAGAATTAGGCTTCATAGGCTCTTACTACGCAGCAACTATTATTTGTTCCACTGGCGATGATTATTACAGAATCAAGTACAAGACTCTGTTGACAGATGATGAGTCTGAGCCGCTAGAGGATGTTTTCTCTGCAGCCGAGATCCGCCCTGTTCCACCTCATCAACATGAAACAATGTCAGAAAATGGATTCCGTCTATACGATATGGTAGATGTATTTGACAACGATGGATGGTGGTTCGGATTTATCAGTGCGAAAGTTGGAGATGAGTACTATGTCTACTTCCCTACAACTGGAGATAACATTGCATATCCTCCTCGTGTGTTGAGATTTCATCAAGAATGGTCTAATGGCAAGTGGATATTTCTTCCATGACAATGAAAGATTTTCGACTTGCACTGATCTTGATTTCAAGAAATCCTTGATTTACTGTAATTTGATATGAATGCGACTTAATTGATCATTCTCTTTATCCCAATTCATCAAGTTTGGTCGCAAATTGTTATATTGATGATTAAGATTTTGATATGCTGTATAGTGAGAAACGAGAATATATGAATTTGTTACTCTGTTTTAGAGTTGAATTGTGCTGTATAATAAGATGCATTACTTTTCTGTCGGTGATACACCCAAATTCAGGTTTATATCTACAGAATTGAACATATTCTTCAATGCCGTCTAATGTTAAGTCTTGAATATACCGTCTTATGTTTTTTTTATATATATAGCTACAATCAGAAACTGGAAAAGAAACAAAAAAGGGAAGAATGAATTTGAGTGGATCAATCAGAGTTGGAAATCTTATGGAATATAACTCATCACAAAGCTTGTAGAGAATTCTTGAAAGTTTGAGGCATGTCAAAGACACCATTTTTAAACTCGATATAGATGTATGTCATAATTCAACAAATTCTTCTAATATAAAACTAAATCACTTATCTTCCCAAAGATAAAGAATATAAGTATATATAGGTCTGAAGAACTCAAATGATCACAATGGAGTTTCAAAGCTAAAAAATTGCTGCAGTTTGGAAAAAGGATTAATGGCTCAAGAATTTAGTTAATAATAATGAGTTATGTTACAAATATCAGTTGCAACATTAATATTTGAATTAGAAGTAATGATCAATCAGTGGCAGTAATGATTTTCTCAATTTTTTAGCTTTGAAACTCCATCTTTTAGCATTGTTGTAACTTACAACTTGTAACAAAGATCACGATTTCACTTGCACACAACTAGCCTCTTAACACTTGTAGATGCTGAAAATTGTATGATTGGACCCGACCCAACCAATTGAGACATATATTATGTCCTTTTGGTTCACCACGAAGAAGTAATCCGTTATCCCCTCCCCAATTATAGAACAGTTTTCTTGAGAGTCTAACCTGGAATGCTTTTAATCTAGGTTTGAAGCTCCATTTTTTTTCCCTTTTTAATGAATAAGATTGAAGCATATTATTTTATTGATTTTGAGGCAATATGTTTCATGTGCTAGTTTTGTTCCAGCTACAGGACATTGAAACTTTCTTGAAAATGGTGGAGATTAGATGGATGTGCACCAGTAATTCAAAACATTGCAGTTTTGGATAAGGCTGTATGAGTATTTTGTTTATTACATCTAAATCTTTTTGACTGTGAGACGTTGTAGCGAGTGCTGTCAAGATTATGAATACAGGTTAATTGTCCAGGATACACTCGTAAACTTTTGTTAAATACGGTAATTATTCAGATCTTATTTATATACAGGCTATACTAAGAGAGTATAACTAGCCCCTTAACATTTGTAAATGCTGAAAATTGTATGCTTGGGCCTGTTGGGATGCATATTATGTCCTTTTGGTTCACCACGAAGAAACAGCTTATGTACATACTAGCTAAATACTTGCTGGCTGTACTGACCTTGACCAACATGATAGTATCATTCATGATTTCTCTTTTGTTTTAGTTAAGACTAAGTTTCAACAACTCTTTTAGGCTTCAAATTGACGATATCCATAGGCTGAATGTTGAATTGGCAAAAATAAAGTCGAGACAATCATTCTGGGCTATATTTGATACATTAGAAAGCCGCCCTTTCTTTCTGGGCTTGTCCAAGAGGAAATCGGAAATCAAAAAGAAAGAAGTCTGTCAGACAGCCATGGGACCATCCTAGGCATGAGATCAGGTCTAGGAACGATCATCTACTGCAACCACAGCTCAAAGAGCCATGATAGGCTGTTAGTCACGCTCTGGTCACATGGCCATGCTTCATCAACCAGACTTGGTTTCCTGTCTCCTTAGAATCAAGGATACAGTGGTACGAGCCTATAGAACAGATCCTGTTCAAGTAAGGTCGTGACATATGCTCCTGGTATGAAGCCTCATAAAGATGGAGTTTATGTGTTGCACTGCCGATGTGGGAACAATATGTTGGCCCCCGACGCAGCTTCGCTGACTACTACGCAATCTCTAAGCCTAAAGTGCAATAAAAGTAATAAATTTTGTGTCAGATTTCAGTTTTTGATTCATTATAGAAAAATTAATTATTATGCACTTACTTATTTAAGGGGTAGACAAGTATTTTCGTAGAAACCATTCCGATTTCCAGTGGGAAAAATTCCATCACAGTTTTTCCTCTTGCCATAGTCCATAATAAATTAGGAAAGAAAAAAAAGATATAAACCAATCAAAAATATAAAAATTGGAAATACCTATTCCGGGTCATTCCAGGAAAAAACAAAAGAAAACAGGAAAATAATTCCTTATTTAGTCTTTGCCTATAAATTCAGTACCAAAGCCTCATAGTTGCTCACTTTTTTCGTTCAATTGAGTCAATCAATCTCCATAGAGTTCACAATAATGGCCCCAATCAACATTACAGAAATGAATTCAGTGCAACTCCATCAATCAAGAATGGCGATGCTCTCAGAGTCAATCAAATCAATTGCATTCAAGAAACAACAGATAACGAAAGAATTCGAAAAGGGTGATGAAGTTGAAGTGGCAAGTCAAGAATTAGGCTTCATAGGCTCTTACTACGCAGCAACTATTATTTGTTCCACTGGCGATGATTATTACAGAATCAAGTACAAGACACTGTTGACAGATGATGAGTCTGAGCCGCTAGAGGATGTTTTCTCTGCAGCCGAGATCCGCCCTGTTCCACCTAATCAAGATGAAACAATGTCAGAAAATGGATTCCGTCTATATGATATGGTTGATGTATTTGCTAACGATGGATGGTGGTTCGGATTTATCAGTGCGAAAGTTGGAGATGAGTACTATGTCTACTTCCCTACAACTGGAGATAACATTGCATACCCTCCTCATGTGTTGAGATTTCATCAAGAATGGTCTTATGGAAAGTGGATATTTCTTCCAAGACAAGGAAAGATTTTCAACTTGTACTAATCTTGATTTCAACAAGTTCTTGATTTACTGTAATTTGATATGAATGCGACTTGTTAATCATTCTCTTTATGCCAATTCTTCAAGTTTAGTCGCAAATTGTTATATTGCTGATAAAGATTTCGATATGCTGTAATCTGTATAGTGAGAAACTAGAATATATGAATTTGTTACTCTGTTTTAGAGTTGAACTGTGCTATTTAATAATAAGATGCAGTACTTTTCTGTTATAATAAACATTACTCACAAAGATTCACTAGAAAATGAATAAGGTATTGATATTAGTTCTTCTCTATGTCGTTGCCATATTCACAAGTTCCAATTCTGCACCTGAATCCGACCCGATTCTTGACATAAACGGAAAAATCCTCCGAACACACACTACGTATTTAGTAGTCCCAGTAAATCACAAATATGGTGGGATTTCTTTAGAAACCACTGGCAATGAAAAATGTCAACTTGGTGTAGTTCAAGAAATTTACAATGTGCACGGAGGCTCTGTGGCATTATTCCCACTGAACCCAAAGAAAGGTGTAATACGCGTGTCTACTGATTTAAACATCGCGATTTTGTTTATTGCAAAGTCATTTGCAAAGATGTTGAGATTATATGATCAATGGACAGAGACGTTTGTCACTCAGCAATGTCCCTCTTGTGTTCAATTTTAAAAAGGAATTCACTTAACATCGAAAAAATAACGATTAGTAATAATAATGATTAGTATAAGGCAATAAGTTGCTCTATAAAAGAACAATAATGTAATAAGGCGTGACTATGCTATGCTTTTATTATTGAGTAAACATGTAAGTTATTAACCCCATTTTTTCCTGTTTCCATAATTCAAGTCCCTAACAAATTAGGAAAAATAATAAAGTAAACAATTAGGTAAATGGAAACCTAATCACCGTAACTGAATATTCTGCCTATAAATTCACTTGCAAAGCCTCATAGTTACTCACTTTTCATTCAATAGAAACAATCTCCATTACTACTCTCGAAATGGAACGCCACGAATCAAGAATGGAAATGCTCACAGAGTCTGTAAAATCAATAGCATTCAAGAAACAACAGATAACAAAAGTATTCCAAAAGGGGGACGAAGTTGAAGTGGCAAGTCAAGTATATGGCTTCGTAGGTTCTTACTACGAAGCAACTATTGTTTCTTCCATTGGCGCTTATCATTACAGAATCAAGTACAAGAATCTGTTGACTGATGATGAATCTGCACCACTGGAAGAGATGTTCACTTCAGCCGCGATCCGCCCTGTTCCACCTCATCAAGATGAAACAATGTCAGAAAACGGATTCCGTCTGTACGATATGGTTGATGTATTTGCCAACGATGGATGGTGGTTTGGATTTATCAGTGGGAAAATTGGAGAAGAGTACTATGTCTACTTCCCTACAACTGCAGATAACATTGCATACCCTCGTCATGTGTTGAGATTTCATCAAGAATGGTTTAATGGGAAATGGATAGTTCTTCCAAGACAAGGAAAGATTTTTGACTTGCACTAATCTTGATTTCAACAAGTTCTTGATTTACTGTAATGTGATATGAATGTACTGAATCTTTTTCCTTTATGTTAAAAAGAATTTCAAGTTTAGTCCCAAAAATTGCTTTGCTGATAAAGATTTCTATTGAGGAAATAGTCATTAAATGTTTGTACTTTACAGTGAGAAATAAGAATCTGTAATTTGTTACTCTGTTTTAGCCTTGAATTGTGCTGTATAATAAGATGCATTACTTTTCTGTTCAGTTATAACTTATATCTACAGAATTGAAGATATTCATTAGTGACTTTGAGAATTGAGATTTAGTATCTGTCGATCTGTCAATAAATTATATGCTTGGACTCGACATTCGACCCGACCCCATTGGGACACATATTACGTCCTTTTGGTTCACCTCAAAGAAACAACTACTTATCTGCACCAGATATTTATATCAAATTAATAATAGCGTATGTGTTATGCATATTCTTATAGTATCACCTGACTATAATTAATTAACGAACATTTTCATTTTATTTGTTAATTAACCAATATAAATTTCAATGATTTGGGATTAAACAATCAGCTAGGAACACCAAGTTTTTGACATGTATGGTGCTGCTGATTTGGTTATCTTTAGATAAATATTATCAATCAAAACAATCAGGGTCAAACACCACCCAAAGTTTTAATTAAACCAAAATCCAACCAATGTGCTATTTTTCTTCTATAAAAACACTAATCGCATATATCCCTAATATCCATCCAAACAAAACAGAAAATGAATAAAGTTTTGCTATTACTTCTTCTCTGTGTCTTTGCCATCTTCACAAGTTCCAATTCTGCACCTGAACCCGATCCGATTCTGGACATAAACGGAAAAATCCTCCGAACACACACTACGTATTTCGTAGTGCCAGTAAATCACAAATATGGTGGGATTTCTTTAGAAACAACTGGCAATGAAAAATGTCAACTTGGTGTAGTTCAAGAAATATACGATGTGCACGGAGGCTCTGTGGCATTATTACCACTGAACCCAAAGGAAGGTGTAATACGTGTGTCTACTGATTTAAATATCGCGATTTTCAGCACCCACGGGTGTGGTGATCAATCTACAGTGTGGCAACTTGAGACGTATGATTCCAAAACAGGAAAGTATTTTATTAAAGACGGCGGAGTTGAAGGAAATCCTGATCCTAAGACTATAAGGAATTGGTTCAAAATTGAGAAGTATGGGCATGGTTACAAGTTTGTTTATTGCCCTTCAGTGTGCAGTAAATGCAAAGTTATTTGCAAAGATGTTGGAGTTTATATGAAAAATGGACAGAGACGTTTGGCACTCAGTAATGTGCCTCTTGTGTTCAATTTTAAAAAGGAAGAATTCACTTCTTGAGATTGAACAAATAACAAAATAATAAGAATAAGGACATTACAATAAGTTGTTCTATAAAAGAACAATAATGTAAGCTATGCTTTTATTTCTTCTTCTTGTTTTTATTGTCACTGAATAAATATATACGTGTATTTTGCAATCCCTTTTGCCTTTAATTTGAGCTTGAAAGATTACGAGTTTTGTTTAGGGCTGGCAATGGACGGGTCATAATGGGTTAAGACAACAATTGGGTCAAGACCCAATTCAATCCAAATTTGCTTGGGTCAAAACAAGTTGGGTCATAATGGGTTATATTACGGGTCAAGACCCACCCAACCCAATTTTTACTAAGCTTAATTATTTTATTTGTCTTTTAAATTATTTTAGTACCGAATAAAATTAATATTTTTTCTTTATTATGGCTATACAACATATCAAATTGAAAAGTAAGTTTAAAAAAAATATTCCAACAAGATTTTTCATGAGCCAATCAGGTTACATATCAACCCAATTTTTAATGGATTGAAATGGGTAATGGGTCCCTAGAAGCTCCCACCCCTTTTGCTCCCTTGGTAACTCAAACTCGCAACCTTCGGGTTGGAAATGAGGGGTGTTTACCATCCGAGCAACTCCCTCTCGTCAAATTTGAAACTAATTAATAGTACCCTTTTTTACAAAAAAAACAACTCTTTGTGATGTAGTATTAAAAGAATGGATCTTGGACCTAATTCAACCCCAAAAACTCGTTTATTGGGGATAATTATCCAAGTCCAAAGAGATCATGCATATTTTTCTCATTCCACCTACAACGCGCGAGACTTACGAGGAAGTATATGTCTATACGGCATACGCCCATCATCTATATGTCTATACGGCATACGCCCATCATCTATCGATCACAATATTTATAAAACCCTGCTTCATTATACAATAGTTCCATTAAACGCTTATTTTATCATTTTGAGTTCAAGTTATAATATATAATGTCAGTATGAAATTTTTTATAGTATTAAGTTATTATAAGGATATATGACTTAAATTCTTTTAATTTTAAACGAACATGGACATCGAAAATCCAAACTATTCTCATTTTTCACTTAGGGTTAATTACAATAAACAGTCTGATAATACGACGCAATTAGAATACACCCCTATATTTTAATCTTTTAATGTTATATTCATTAAAATAATATGGTATATTATAATACAATATAATACACATTATGAAACAACCTAAAACAAAATTGACAAGAAAGGAAGAAACTAAAATGCATAGTTTAATTTATTATTATATGAAGGATAAGTTATCATCATCCTCATTAGTATAGACACTTATTATATTTGTAGAGTGAAATTAGAGCAACTGAATACGTTCAACGACCTTCAAGAATTTCCTTCTTAAAGTTGAACACAAGAGGGGCACCATTAAGCCCTAAACGCCTCTGACCATTGACCATAACAACTCCAACATCTTTACAAATAACTTTACAGTAAACAAATTTATAACCCTGCCCATACTTCTCAATTCTGAACCAATTCCTTCTATCCTTAGGACCAACATTAATAAAATACCTCCCTCCATCATATTTCTCTAGTTGCCACCTTGTCGAATGAAGACAATCATAGGTACTGTAAATTGCAACGTTTAAATCAGTGGACACGCGAATTACACCTTTCTTTTTATCGACTGGTATTAATTCCAGGCCATGGCCGTGTGGTTCAATGTAACGTTTTTGTATGACACTAAGTTGACATGTATTATTATTGCCTATGGTTTCCACGGCAACGCCACCGTATTTTTCGCCGTTAATTGGAACTATAAAATATGTTTTCTCTGTTCGGAGAATTTTGCCGGTTATGTCAAGAACTGGATTAGGTGCTGAAGATGCTTCACAAAGCCAAGAATTTGTGAAGATGGCAAAAATAGAGATAAATTGTAATATGAATAATTTCTTCATTTTCTGAAACTTTTGTACTATGATTGGTATTTTTTTTATTTTGGTTTTGTGATGGTGAATTTTTGTATGGACATTTAAAGGTGTGGATTGTGTTTTTTTATAAAGAAAATATAGCACATTGGTTGTGGATTTTTTGTTTAAAACTTGGGCACGTACCTAAATAGGTCGACGGTGTTTGACTTTGACATTAAATCAAATATTTTTGTGTGGCTTTTGTTTGACTTTCACTTTTCTAATCCAATGAGCAATTTTGGGAGGTTTGATGGATATTATTTCTGAGGGAGTTCTGTCACTTGGTGTGCATGGTATTTGAAAAATTTTAATCCAGAAATTTTGATCTTTAATAATTAAATATATATATATATATATATATATATATATATATATATATATATATATATATATATATATATATATATATATATATATATATATATATATATATATATATATATATATATATATATATATATATATATATATATATATATATATATATATATATATATATATATATATATATATATATATATATATATATATATATATATATATATATATATATATATATATATATATATATATATATATATATATATATATATATATATATATATATATATATATATATATATATATATATATATATATATATATATATATATATATATATATATATATATATATATATATATATATATATATATATATATATATATATATATATATATATATATATATATATATATATATATATATATATATATATATATATATATATATATATATATATATATATATATATATATATATATATATATATATATATATATATATATATATATATATATATATATATATATATATATATATATATATATATATATATATATATATATATATATATATATATATATATATATATATATATATATATATATATATATATATATATATATATATATATATATATATATATATATATATATATATATATATATATATATATATATATATATATATATATATATATATATATATATATATATATATATATATATATATATATATATATATATATATATATATATATATATATATATATATATATATATATATATATATATATATATATATATATATATATATATATATATATATATATATATATATATATATATATATATATATATATATATATATATATATATATATATATATATATTACTTTATAGTTTGTTCGACTTGGACTTATTTATAATTATATACGTAATAGATAATTATGTTTTTTACTTTTTAAGAAACGTCTCAATTATATCATACTAACATCTTACATATGTAGAAATATATTTTTTTTTATAAAAAGTAAATGTAATTAATTTCATTAATCAATGACACAAAAAAGATAATTTAATTAAAATAGAGTAGACAAAATTTGAAGGTCTAATTTTTTTTCATACTAATACTAATTTACAAATTTGTTAGTATCATATTATTAATTAAAATATATGAGTTGTATATATAATTATATATTTCGATATGATAATTCTATATTTCACTTTGTTTTTCTTCATAAATGCTGCATATTGTACCAAATATAAAACAAAAATAATTAAAACACATATCAAAAGTCATGTCAAATATCATAATATCGTGATGCGGTGTAACAAATTGTAAAAACATTTTGGGAGCATATATATATATAAGTAACTAATTATTTTAATTATGATTAGAGCTTTATTCTAGTTAATTAAATTTCAGCCATTAATTTAGAATTGTGACATGTGTCTCCAAATCAAGTAAGAATTTTAGGAAAATGAAGAGAAAGAAAATAAATGAAGAGGAGTCACATCTAATAATTACACCATTTTTCTTTATAATTAGTGCTTTAAGAAATTATAGTACTTTTTTTTTGTTAGTAAAATGTTTTACTACTATTATTCCTTTATATGATATATAGTCATAAATAAAGTTTTGGAAAAGAATATGATAGATTAGAGAGTAAATAATAAGGAATAAAGAACAATGCAAAAATTATAACTCGAGTAAATTTTCAAAGGATCAATCCAATTAAAATCATATAGTAAAATCCCTTACTTTATTTTTATATCAATAAAGTCATTCAATTTAAACTTTAGTCTCCCGAAATAGCATTTTATACAACCAAAAATCTGACATGGAGCTTTTGCAAAACAAAACACACACAAGATTATTAGCAAAGGGCACTCGATCCTTATGGAGTACATCACTATTATTTGAATTAACAGACAAGTTATTTTCTTCATCATTTTGGTAAGTTTTAACTTATTTAAGTAATTTGTTCAATTACATTAATATATAGATACTTGCTTCAGCAGACTCTACACATAACAGAAGCTTAGTGCACCAGACTGTCCTTTTTATTTCAAGAATTGAATTCCCTTTTGAAGTTGAACACGAGAGGAACATTTATAATTTTTTTAGTATCACATTATTTAAATATATGGGTTGTATATGTAATTATATATTTCTATGTGATATTCAATATTTCACTTTTTTCTTCATAAATGCTGCATATCGTTCCAAATATATATTTTTTTAAATGAAAACACATATCAAAAGTCATGTCAAATATCATAATATCGTGATGCGGTGCAACAAATTGTAAAATATTTTGGGAGCAAATTAAATATACATATAAGCAATTAATTATTTTAATTATGATTAGAGCTTTATTCTAGTTAATTAAATCCCAGCCATTAATTTAGAATTGTGACATGTGTCTCCAAATCAAGTAAGAATATGAGGAAAATGAAGAGGAGCCGAATCTAAATAATTACACCATTTTTCTTTATAATTAGTTCTTTAAGAAATTATACTTTTTTTGGTAGTAAAATGTTTTACTACTATTATATCCTTTAGATGATAGTCATAAATAAAGTTTTGGAAAGAATATGATAGATTAGAGAGTAAATAAAAAGAAATAAAGAACAATGCAAAAATTATAACTCGAGTAAATTTTCAAAGGATCAATCCAATTAAAATTGTATAGTAAAATCACTTAGCTTATTTTTATATCAATAAAGTCATTCAATTTAAATTAACATTTTATTTATACAACCAAAAATCTGACATGGAGCTTTTGCAAAACAAAACACACACAAGTTTATTAGCATAGGACACTCGATCCCTATGGAGTCCATCACTATTATTTGAATTAACGACAAGTTATTTTCTTCATCATTTTGGTAGTTTTAACTTATTTAAGTAATTTGTTCAATTACATTAATATATAGATACTTGCTTCACATAACGGAAGCTTAGTACACCAGACTGTCTTTTTAATTTCAAGAATTGAATTCCCTTTTGAAGTTGAACACGAGAGGAACATCGTTGAGTGCTAAACGATTTTGTTCATTGATCATATAAACTCCAACATCTTTGCAAATGACTTTGCAGTAAGTGCACACTGAAGGACAATAAACAAATTTGTAACCATGTCCATACTTCTCAATTTTGAACCAATTCCATATTGTTTTAGAACCAGGATTCCCATCAACTCCACCAACGTTAACAAAATACTTCCCTGTCGATGGATCATACTCCTCAAGTTGCCACACCGTCGATTGACAACATTTTTACGTGCTGAAAATCGCAACATTTAAATCAGTCGATACACGTATTATACCTTTCTTTTTATCCACCGGGATAAATTCTAAAATAGCACCATTTTTGTCGTATTTTTCTTTTACAACGCCAAGTTGACATGTCTCATTGCCGATGGTTTCTACAGAGAGACCGCCATTTTCGCGATTTGTTGGCACTATGTAATACGTTGTGTGTGTTCGGAGGATTTTGCCATTTATGTCTAACACTGGTTCAGGTGCGGAGGATGCTTCACTAAGCCAAGAATTGATGAAGGTGGAAAGTAATAATATTAGCAATAGATTCTTCATTTTTTGAAATTTTGTAAGTAGTGATATTTTTGTTTTGTGAATTTTGCATGGACAATTAGAGATGTAAAATGTGTTTTTTTATAAAGAAAATAGCACATTGGTTGTGGATTTTTTTAATACTTGGGGACGTGCCTAAATTAAAAGGTTGAAGGTGTTTGACCTTATATAGTTTATGTTTTTAATTTTTTATTCAGTATTCGATATTCGTATTGAAGTCTGACTAATTCAGATTCAAGTCAAATAGGGCCCCATTTGGGTAGCACTCCTTACAAAGAATTTTCTTTATGCCCAAGGCTTGAACCCAAAACCGCGGAGGAGCATGCAATTTCATCCGATCCACTACTCCATATCCATTACTAATATATACTAATTCTTTTATTTTTGGAAGTTTTTTCTTTCTTTCTAATCGAATGAGCAATTTTGCAAGTTTTAGCTACTAGTTTTAATTTGATGGATAATATTTCTAGGGGAGCTCATTTGGTTTTTCTTCCCATCAATATATATAATATAATATAATACAATAAAATAAAGATTAAAAGTAAGTGTCACTAGATATGAAATCCAAAAGGCTTTCATTAAAATAATCATTTTTTAATTATCATCTAAATTATAATGTATAGTGTATAAATAAATCTGCATATTGTTTTTTTATCACTAGAAAAGGAAAAGGTGAAGAAAGGCAGGAACAAGTTGTCAATATATACTTTGTCCTAAATCAACTTTATATTTCAAAACGGTTATTAGACACCAAATAAAAAATTTATATTGGCCACCATCACTTGTCGAGGAGCAGAGTATGAATTCATGGAAACTAATGATGTCTGACTATGAATTCCATTCAGATCGAAATTGCAGAAAAATAACGTGCGTTCAACAAGTATAATATTCAAAGTGTTTATGGTGAAAATTATACTTAAATTATCACTTTTTTTCGTAAATATTATCTTAATTATCAATTGTTCTTTTTAACTGTTTAAACTATCATTTCATTTCATATTAAAACACACTCTTTCATATTGAGTTGATCAAATATTTATTTTTTATCGATAACATATGTGTAGACGACATTCAGCATCGAGGTGTCTTTTAATAAAAATAATAATAATTAAAAAATAAAATTCACTTAAAATATAATTAACTATTTTATTTTTACCATTAACTCAAATCTAAATGATGTGACCAGACAAACCATATGCTGCAGCCACCTCATAGTGCCTCTCTGAAGTATTCTACTAGCAAATTGTGTGATAAAAACATTAGTATATAAATATGTATCTTATGTTGCTTTTTTTATATACCACGTTATTGTAACTTGAAAATTTAAATAATAATAACTAGCTGGCTCCGATCCAATTTTAGCCTATGGTTTCAGTAATTTAAATATTAAATAATGATAACTAAATAAAACCAGATGGATTAAATATTAAATAATGAAAATTAAATAAAACCATATGCTTCCATCTCTTATTGTCTCTTCACCCTACGCGACAGGTAAACTAGGAGTACTATATATACTTTTAAAAAATATAATATTATAGCACTTCATCATTATAGTAATTTCACTTTCCCATACATAATTTTCTTAAATTAAAGTTACAGAATTGAGCCCAATCTCATTTAAAAATAAGTTTAATTTTAATATGTATCGAGTGAAATAATATTACATAAATTGAGGCGGAATGCGTGTAACCTTATCTTTGACTGATGCATTCCATTCCCAAAATGATTACTTAATTAATTAGGTCTACATGTATTTCAGGAATGAATGAATGCCGCGTCCTCACTCCTCTCCCTTTGGCGCTTGTCGGTGGCAAATTTATACTACTATGAAATTCATTACTTTAGCATTGAATTGGTCAAATTATTTATATACACCTTCCCGTATAGTGTTTATTATTCATATTCGAGTCTGATTAAATTTGAATTTACTCCGTATAGTTCGTTATTCGAGGGACAGTGCTCTCTGTCAAAAAAAAAATCATACCTAAAGCTTGAACCCAAAACCTTTGATTAAGAAGGAACAAACACATCCACTACATCACATCGTTTGGTAGTTTTTATATACTATTATTTTATAATATCTCTTATGAATAAAAATAATAATCTCTTGAAAAAAAACATAAAATTAAAACCAATTTATGAAAAATCAAAAAATAAATTGACCCAAAATATTAAAGTAATTCAATTTTAAAACTTATTTAAACAGCTCTTAAAAAAATATATCACATAAATTACGACGGAAGAAGTACGAAAATATTATTTTAGTGCCATTACAATTATTAAAATTTTAGACCCACCACTATCGCACGCCTCCTCCTTACAACCAAAAAAAAAACGAGTAATGAACATTGACGATCCACCAACGTGCAAAATATCATCACCCTTATCTCTCTATAAATTGACATCCACTTGCCATAAACACTCATATCAAAATCAAACTAACACAAGAAAAAAAATAAAAATCATGAACACTCTCTTGTTACTATTTTCACTTTCACTTTCAATTATTCCATTTACCTTATGTGTACCCAATCCCTCAAGAATACTCTCATCATCATCTCCAGTTCTCGATATCAATGGCGATAAAGTTCAAGCAGGTCCCAATTACTTCATCTTACCCGTCATTCGAGGAAAAGGCGGCGGACTTTACCCATCCAACGTTAAACAACACAATAGTACATGTCCTAGAGACATTGTTCAAGAGACCGACGAGGTACAACAAGGATTGCCAGTAGTGTTTACACGTCTCGACGCGAAAAAAGGCGTCGTTCGTGTATCTACTGATGTTAATGTTAGGTTTTATACTCCGACGATTTGTGCTAGAGAAACTATTTGGAAACTTGGAGCGTATGATGACAAGTTGAAACAGTATTTTGTTGTGACGGGTGGAGTTGAAGGTAACCCGGGTCCGCAAACGGTGGGTAATTGGTTTAAGATTGAGAAATTCGGGTCGGATTATAAGTTTGTGTTTTGTCCAAGTGTGTGTGAGTTTTATAAAGTTATTTGTAAAGATGTTGGGGTTTTTATGAAGGATGGAGTTAGGTTTTTGGCTCTTAGTGACACTCCATTTAAAGTTATGTTTAAGAAGACTTTTTGATTGTGTATTTTTTTTTTTTAATTTGTCAATTTTTATGGTTAATTGAAAGGTTTGGTTTATAATAATATTGTGTTTTTTATGTAATCTTGCTTATGTTCGTTAATTAACTTCGTCTTGGATATGAAATGCGACTCTTTTATCTTTTCATTGTTGTTCATCCTCCTGGCCAAATAGAAAGTTGAATTATCAAAAAAAAAAACTCATTAAAAAATAAACGATTGATTTTTCTTAAAAAACTCATCAAAAATTTTACTTTTCAATATATCGATGTTTGATTGAATATAAAATTAAAGAAATATTTTTTTCGAAACTTTTGATCTAAGATGAAACTGAGAAATATTTATGACTAATTATAACTCGAATATTTAGCATAGAACTTGGGCAAATTTATCTCTTCATTCACCTACAACAATATATTTTCTTAGAATATATGAAACAAGTGAAGTATTGATTAGCAAATTAAGCCTAGTTTTAATAGTATTTGAAAATGCTTTTATAATTAATCCTTCATTCTCTATTTTACCACAAATAAAATTATAGTATGTTATTAAGCATTATATATATACACACGTGTGATTATAAATTTTGTACCGAACTATGAGTGAAATTCAATTCACTATAAACAATGAGTTTATTTATAAAATATAAAAATTATGGTAATTTTAATTTTTTTTAAAATTTCTCAAATAATAGAATTTAATCAAAATACTAGATTTTTTCTTATATTTAGTAACTTTAATTGTTTATCAAATATGCCAAGTTATTTGACACAAACAATATTTGCCAAGTTCTTCCTATATTTTTTGGAATATTTATGTCCAAACACGTCACTGCGAACATAATTTCGAAATTTCGATCTGTTAATTAAGTGTCATGGATTTTTAGATGCATTAAAGTCAACTTCTGGAAGACTTCTCCAGTCCAATTAAGATGTGCGTTCATTATTGACCAACTTATGTCAAGATCCATTTCAGTTATCAACATCATGCTTCGTCCGTTTCAATTTTTATGACACATTTTGATTTTGAGTTTTTACATATTTTAAATTGTTAATTATTGTAATTTATAATATTTTTACGTAGTTTACAAATATATAAATTTTATTTTAAAAAAATTAACAATTTCATGCTCAAATTTTGAGTTAAACTTAAACTGTTTGACTCTTAAAAAATAAAATGTGTCACATAAATAAATTAGGATAGAGAAAGTATTATTTTTGAAGTCAAATATTATTACTCCTTTACTTAGCTTGATCTTTATATCAAATAAGTATTTTATTTTATTTGTTTATATCTCTAACTAATTTTTTTTAGGAAATGTTTTAGATTAACAAACGCCAAGTAGTAATATAAAACTAAGAGATTATTTATTCATATAAATATTTTAATTGAGTATCCCATTTTAAAATTCATTGAGCACGTTTGATTTAAAATTTCAGGGACCGCCACTATTTATTTTTTCTTTCACTACCAACAGAAATTAAAGTAGCTTATCCCTGGGCTATAAATTGACATCCACTTCTGATCATTCAACACACCAAAGGACTCATATCACAAAAAAATTGAAGATTTCATACTCAAATTTCATGCTCAAATTTCGAGTTAAACTTAAACTATTTGACTCTCGAAAAATGAAACGTGTCACATAAATTAGCATAGAGATAATATTATTTTTAAGTCAAATATTATTACTCCTTTACTTAGCTTGATATATCTTTATATCAAATAAGTATTTTATTTTATTTGTTTATATCTCTAACTAATTTTTTTTTAGGAAATGTTTGGGGTTTATTAAAAATCAAGTAATATAATTCGAAGAGATTATTTATTCATATAATTTTTTTTTGACTGAGTATCCCATTTTAAAAATCATTGAACACGTTTGATTTAAAATTTCAGGGACC